GAGAGAGAGAGAATTACAAATTAGTGTGTCAGGCAGGAGATGCATCTATTTCTGGTGATTTTGAAAAGGTGTCAACAATTCTGTCCAGTCCATTTTTGGAATTCTGTGTGGAATGGATCACATTTGGCTTTTTTTCTCAGTTTGTGTTGTTTCAATGCAAACAAAAGAAATAAACATGGGAATAGTAAAGAATTTCTGATTGCAGCAATTCTCTGGAAGAAGAGGTGGTTATCCGACAGAAATGCAGGGTGCCAATATTTTTGGCGCTCCAGCGGGTTATTACCAGAGCCCAGAAGATTATCGGTTGCCCCCTACCATCTCTGGAAGAACTGTACAGTTCCCGTTGCTTGAAAAAAAGCAAAAAACATTCTGCAGGACCCATCACACCCTGAACACTGTCTGTTTGAACTGCTGCCTTCGGGGAGAAGATACAGAACAATTATAGCAAGGACAGATAGATTAAGAAACAGTTTTTATCCGAGAGCTATTGTTGCTTTAAATGCTGCTAAAATCTTAAAATTTGAATGATCAATGGGATTTTACAGGAACTGTGCAATAGTCAGATGTGTATGGATGCGAGTGTGTAAATTTGTTGGGTTTTATTGTTTATGATTATTTTTTTTATCATCGAAGGATTCCATTTTTAATTTCGTTGTACAAATGTACAATGACAATAAAGTTAAATGCAGCATCTCCAGACTGAAAAACTCTTTCTTTCCCTCTGCCATCAGACTCCTACACAGCTGAGGAGTTTACCTGGAATCATGTACTGTCGACCTGTACTGTTTACATTCTCAGTTTGCACATGCATAATTGCACACAGACTGTTGACTATTGCACATGCTGCTCCCATGTAGCATACATTCTTATTATATTATATTATATTTTTACTGTATCTTTTTGTTTGCTGCTTTAAAGTGCTTTAGATTTACTTATTTATTTACTTTATTTCATTTGTATTTTGTGGCATTCATGTGGACGACAAAGTAAGAATTTCATTGTAGAAGGAAACACGTTTCCTAACTGTACATATGACAAACACTTTGACTTAACCGTAACACATTGTCAATGTTGGTATTGTCTCCAAATATAAGGTCACTTAACATCGTCCTTATTAATATGTTGCATAAATCATGCTCATGAGTTTTTTTTTTTTCCTGACCGTTTCTGGATCCAGTTGAGTTAGATTTTAGTCACAAGCCCTTAATGCTTTTCATTGGTTAAATGTTTGTAAAACCCACAGACTGATGTGAAGAGTGATCAATAGCATAGATTTATGAAAAAAAGACAATATGGACATACGAGGTTTCTGCCTGATAGTGACGATAAGCTTAGACCAATTGTACAGGGATTTCAGTGTTTCTCAACAACAGCACAACTCAGCTCTGCAGTAGTTAAAAAAATATACATTTTCTAACACAACGTCTCCTTCCAACCGTAGACAATAAGCTTGATACAACTTAATTTTCATCAACCCTAGCTGTCCTCCACACTGGACAAGCTGGTGTCTGTGCAGCCGGCTGTGAAACGAGTGTGCGGGTATCAGCTGTAGCGTGGAGGCCAGCGCGTTTCCTTGACAATTTGGTTGTAGCTTATTGTCTACCTTACTATGCTTGGGAAAGGCATCACATGTATTTTAACATTTCACTTATGCCTTTTTGAGCCACGAATCTTTACAACTTAACCAAAGTCTCTGCAACATTTGTTGTCATTGCCCCTGCACCCTTCAGTGAATGCTTTAATTCACATCCTGGACAGTGGGCTACCATATGGAAAAAGGTGTACAACGTCAAAAATATGCCAGTTCTCGCAGTTCCCACGCCTAATATGCAGCTACGTTTACATCCTGGACTCTCAAAATGTGTCACAGATAACGTTTGCCTTCCTACAGGTGGATTCACTGGTGATGAGCTGCTGAAGCTCTGGAAGGGTCTTTTCTACTGCCTGTGGATGCAGGATAAACCACTGCTCCAGGTATGTTTTCCCTGTGTTGTTGCTTGGCTTTACAGACCCTTATAATGGCAGAACATAAGATGCAGTTGTGTGCATTTAAGGAGCATTTAAGCCCTTTTCAGGCATGCGCTTCCATATTCAAATTAAATTTTCATGGCAGGCTTATGTTGGAATATGCACCATGTCCCTCTTCAGTAGCATTCACATTGGCAGTCTACCAGTAACCTAAGCCCCATTTACAAAAAGATCGCAGAAAACCTGCAGCATTTTGACCTTCCTTAAAGGCGGCATTTTTTTTATTTAAGCCCTGCTAGACTGATCTTATAGGGCCCACGTCGCTTTTCCTTGTTTTTTGACTTCAATATTACAACGGTGAATTGTTATCTTAGACGTGACCTAAAGCTCAAAAAAAAAATGTAAGAGTTCAGAACTCTCCATTACAGGAGAGGAGAGTTCTCTGACATGGCCAGTAATGAGTCAAATTTTTATTTTCTGGATAGATGGTTGAACAAAACAAGCAAGCCTTATGCAGTTGTGAACAGTTTTTTTTTTTTTTTCCCCACAAGGAAAAATAGGCAATCTGCAAATGTATTGGCAATGAGAATGAATGTTAGATGCATCTTTGTCACAAACCTTTTAAATGCAAATATTGATTTACAATGCCTGGCCTCATGTGACAAGTGCTGAGAACCTGCTCAGTGTCCAAATCAGACACTTCATTGTGTTCCTGTCATAAGCTCTAAAACCTGATTTATGAATGTGTTCAACCACCCCTGTCCTTTCCCTCCTGGTTTGATGGGAGGCGACGGTGTGTTGGGTAGAACAGTCGTCTCCCTACCAGAAGGTTGAAGGTTCAAATCTTGGTACCAGCAGTCCACGTGTCGAAGTTTCCATGGGCAAGACACTGAACCCCCCGTTGCCCCCCGATGGTTAGAGCCATCGGTTGAGTTGGCGCCGCAGATGGCTGCCATCGGTTCTGTACCGGAAACAAATTCCTTGTGTGTAACATACTTGGCCAATAAAGGTGATTGTCCTTATCCTTATGCTTCATCTGAAATGCACAGAGTTCATAAAAAGGTCAGTCTGTGGCTGCATCTCAGGTCTCTTCTATGATTACTCCTTGCTTGACCTGGAAGTTGTTGTGGTCGAGTGATAATTGAGGATATCCCAAGACTCTTACATCTGCTCTGAGTGAGGATAAGAGTATCCTTTCGAAGTTTTTACATGCATCACCCCCCTGTTTTGGAAATCAGTGATTGGAAGCTTCAGATGAGCGATCAGAGGAAATAATGTCTCTTGAAACGTTATCCTTTATCCTTATCTTCATACATTATTCAATTTTCTTCTTTAGGAGGAGCTTTCAAATCAGATCTCCACCCTGATACACAGCTTCCATGACATCACTGGACGTAAGTTGCTCACATGTGATTTTATAAACTAGTGATTTAATAAGAGTAATTGAAATAGTCATGGCACATGTCATTACATGGTACTCTTTGTAATAAAGATGTGCTTTTACCTACAGAGTTTTTATACTTTGAGAGTTTCCTGCAGACCTTCAAAAGAGAGTGGAATGGTATTGACAGGTTGCGGATGGACAAATTCTTCCAGGTTAGTGTGAGGAGAATCCTGAATGAGTTTTATTTTTTAAAGTAGTGTATCCTGTACTGTAGTTAGGCATGGTTTGAGAGTGATTTAAGATGTTTTAATTTCTGACAAATCCAATTGTTCCTTTGCTCTGTCTCTTTAACAGCTCGTTCGCTTCATGTTCAGACAAATGTTTGAGATGCTGAAGAGGAAAAACTGGGAGAGCAGGTAATGTGTTCGGTGGAGGTGTAAATCACCACTTTCATCACGATACAATTGTAAATCAATTCTCTTAAGCCTGCTCCACACTACAGGCTCATTAGCCTGATTTGCTCTTCCCGACAATCGTGGGGGCGTTCCCCGACGTGACCTGGCTGTCTCTGAAATATTTCAGTAAAAATGGCAAGTGTGTAGTCCAACCTCTTGACTGAATCATCTAATGTGTGAGATGAAAATCAGTTAAGATGATAAAATCCTCTAGTGTGTGCCCAGCCTTAGCCAGCGACCCGTTGTTTGCCGATACTTGAAAGCAGAAGCCTTTACTGTCGTTGTACCAGCACAATGAGATTTAAGAAAGACTATAACTGTAAAATTGATTGAACGCAAAAGACTGTTCTGTGCATTGCAGCACACTCAAAGAGCTTTCACACTATTTGGCCATTCACCCGTTCGCTCTCACAAGCACTCGCACATTCATGCACCGTTGTCATCACTGGGAGCAACTGGGGGTTCATTGTCTTACTCCAGGACACTTTGACATGTTGACTGGACAAGTTAGGAATCGAACCACTAATCTGGTTAGGACGACCCACTCGACTCCTGAGCCACTCCTGCAAGAGTTCAGGATACTATTAGACCTGGAAAAGAAGCTGTTTCCATGTCTTTTTGTTCTGCTTTTTATGCTCCTATACCACCTCCCAGAAGGCAGCAAGGTAAACAGAGTGGCCAGGATGGGAGAGGTCTTTTATGATTTTCCTAACTGCACAACCACTGAGAGCTGGAGATGTCTTCCAGGGAGGGCAGAGAACAGCCAATAATTTTCTCTGCTGTAGTTGTCACCCTCTGTAGAGCTCTCCTGTTTGTACCATGCTGCTATACAGTATCCAAAGACACTCTCTGTGATTGAGTGGTAAAAGTTCTCTAGCAGTTTCTCCTTCAGATCCACTTTTCAGAACATCTCACGAAATGCAACTGCTGCTGTGACTAAAATTTTAACATCTTTCAATCACGTTTCATTCATATAATTTTGAGGTAAACCAAGTGTCTCTCTTCAGTCTGGTTGCCAGATTTCTAGAGCTGCTGACAACTCAACTACTGCAGAGAAGCAGCGCAGCACCCAGCGGGCTGCAGTTCCACATCCTGGACCTTTACATGACTGAACTGGCAGCTGATTATCTTTGACTAATATTTAAATTTGTTTGATGATCTGAAACATTACAGTGTGACAAACATGCAAAAAGATAAGAAATCAGTAAGGGGGCAAACACTTTTTCACACCACTGTATGTTCACACTGGAACTGGATGCCTATCATTTAAGCTGCATTCACATTACTCAAATCCATCCACCCCCCCACCCCACATGAGTCTGATCTAATTTTTTCATGGATGTGTGAACAAATCAGATCTAGGCCAATTTTGGACATTTTAGTGCTTCCAGGGGAGCTGGATCAGTGGTGTTTAGGGGAGACAACAGTGGTGCGGTGATAGAGCAGTTGTCTCCCAACCAGAAGGTTCGAATCTCATTGCCGGCAGTCCACATGTCAAAGTGTCCTTGGGCAAGACACTGAACCCCCTCGTTGCCCCCGATGATTGGAGCCATTGGTTGAGTTGGCGCCGCAGATGGCTGCCATCGGTTCTGTACCGGAAACAAATTCCTTGTGTGTAACATATTTGGCCGATAAAGGTGATTGTCCTTATTATTATTTGTCTAAATTTGGGGGCCTAATGTAGCTTCTACTGTATATACTTCAGAATTATGATAGAAGTAGCATGATGAATTCTGTCCAAGGGCACTTCGACACATGGACTGCCGGCACCGAGATTCAAACCTTCAACCTTCTGGTTGGGAGACGACAGCTCTACCCACCGCACCATTGTAACCTTCCGCGTAACTGATTAGGATGGCGCTTTATTGTACAGATGGATAATAAAACATACAGCGACAGCAGCCCAAGAGCTTCTTAAGGCAAAGAAATTGAATTTTTTTTCAATGGCCAAGTCGGTCACTTGGCCTCAACCTAAATGAGCACAGGGCTTATAGTTCCATACTGTGCCAGATTTCCAGCACAGGGACATTTTTGATTCAAAAATTTATGTGTTTTTAAATGTCATGTGGGAAGAATATGTGTGTGTGTGTGTGTGTGTGTGTAGACATAAAGAACCCTGATTGTGTCTTAACAGAGTAGACCTATTTTATTAATAAAAGCCTTTGTTTACTCTTTGGCTCAGTACTTTGAAAAAGTTCTGCACTGACCCGGCTTTGCTTTGTCTTTATTTCATTGCCGTGTTTTGGTGCTGCAGCTAAAGGCACCTATTTGCCCATCTGGCAGTACTTTAGGTTGAAAAACAAAACAAAAAGTTAATTAAAGTTATGTAATGTAACAGATGCCGGATCTTCATAACCATTTGCGTGTACGATTCCCCAGAATGCGTACTGCATTTCCATCACTGATATGAGATTGGCTGTCATTTTAAAATACAATTTGCAACAAAGCTTGCAAAAAGTGAAGGGGTCTGAATACTTCCTAAAGAATGTATATTAATAATAAAATTCCCATGTGGCCTTTCTTTTCACAGCTTACCGCAGATCAGAACTTGACATTCATCGAGCCATTCTGCAAAACAGCAGCCAAAACCAAAGAGTAAGTTCATATCACCTCAGCTCCCTTTGCTTTATTCATTGTAATGCTGTCAAACTAGATATTAAAAATAAAAAAAGCTGCTATGTGGAACAGGTTATTACCATTTTTAAGTTGCTAACACACTAAAATGACACTTGGAACAGTTGACACTTGGGGAGCAAACCCTAATCTCACCAAAACACATTTTTTGCTTTGCCCCCATGATGAAATTTAATATAATACTTTTTGCAGCACACTAATCATAGTACTTTACAATAAACTGCTGTAAAAAACACTGCCATTCAGAACGCTACACTCCTCAACCAATTAGAAAAAAAGGTGACACCTGTCCAAACACATACAAGGCAATGAAATGCAGTTTAGCATCTAACCAGAAGTGCAATAACAGCAGTGCAGAGTGCACAGTATCTACAGTCTGTACTAATTTACTGATGGATATGTACAATTGATCTTTACAGTAAGATAATGTACGATGTACAACAGACTATGGTTTCAAATTACAGTAATGGACAAGGTACATTAAACACTAGTACAATGGGATGAGATGGAATGATGCTCTCGATGGCACAACGGTAGAAGGCTGAAGACAGGTGGTGCTTCTTCAGGAAGAAGGGGCACTGGTGAGACTTCTTAACCAGGCTGTGGGTGTTGGTGGTCCAGGACAGATCCTCTGAGATGTGGGTCCCCAGGAATGTGAGGCTGGAGACGTGTTCAACAACCATGCCATTAATATGGATGTGGTTGTGTGTGTCTCCCTACTCCCTCCTTTAGTCCACAGTGAGCTCCTTGGTCTTGTCAGTGGTAAGGAGCAGGTTATTGTCAGCGCACCACACAGCCAGGTGCTGTACCTCCTCACTGTAGGCTGACTCATCATTGTCGCTGATGAGGCCGATCACTGTGGTGTCGTTAGCAAACTTGATGATGGTGTTGGAGCCATGCACAGGCCTGCAGTCGTGGTTGAAAAGGGAGTAGAGGAATGGGCTCAACACACAGCCCTGTGGTACACCGGTGTTGAGGATAATGTTGGAGGAGCAGGTGTTGTGTGACCTAACATGCCGAGGCCTGCTGGTCAGAAAGTCCAGAATCCAGTTGCAGAGGGAAGTGCTGATGCTCAGGTCATCAAGTTTGGTAGTTAACTTGGAGGGGATGACTGTGTTAAATACTGAGCTGAAGTCCATGAACAGCATTCTTGCATAGGTGATGTTATTGTCCAGGTGTTTGAGTACAGAGTGCAATGCTATGGAGACTGCATCCTCCGTGCTCCTATTCCTTCAGTGGACAAATTGGTGGGGTCCAGTGTGGGTGGGAGACGGGTCATCACGCGTGCCAGGACCAGGTGCTTGAAGCACTTCATGATGATGGGTGAGTGTGCTACAGGCCAGTAGTCATCTAGGCACGTCGGGGTGGAATGTTTTGGCACTGGCACAATGGAGGTGGTGGTTAATCAGGATTAAACACTACAGGTGAGTAACTGTTTACAGCAACAGTGGAAGTTGACAGCAGTTGGAGGTAAAAATGGAGAGGAGGCGGAGCTACAGTATATGCTACCAGGTGTTTCTACAGAACTGTATTTATATTTTCTGTACTTTTATATCTGTAAGTACACACAGTAAACATTTCAGCCTTCAGCTACTTTGTCCCTTTTTTTTCCCAAAATGGGAATGGTTTTATGGATGTGCATTTCAAAGTCGCTGTACAGTTTTTAATTGGGCACAGCAGAAACTTTACATAATTTGGAACACATCATAGATCCAGGTTTGTGATAGAAAATTTGTATGTTATTGGTATCGACTGTTTATCCCGGTGTGAACTGGCAGAGATGCACCGGCACTCAAGCAGCTTGTTTTTGATACCGGTGCTTGTGCAGTTCTGTCATCGGTTGTTTCTTTTGTCTGTTGTGCTAGTCGGATTCTCTTCGGAGCCATCTCTAACAGCATCTTCAGTGCTATTATTGACCAGGCTCCCTTCGCCATTGAAGATTTGATGAAGGAGGTTAAAGCATCTGAGGACTCAGATTCAGGACAGGGTTCTGAAGACTATGATGAAGACCAGTTAAAAGAGAAAACAAGAAAACTCAGCAAAAAAAGGACTGGGAAGCAGGCAAATGGTAAGAAAATGTACAAGGTCAACTATTTTTCTTGATAAGATGATGAATCGCTTTTTCTCTCTGAATTGTCAGACAATTTCAGATGTAGATTTTCTAAACTGCTCTGTGGTTTGTTAGGAATGTTCGAAAACTGTTTTAACAGGAGAAATGGCAAATTTGTGTGCATTGATTTTTGCTTGCAAATTAATAATTCATGTGAACAGGTTATTAGTCTTTTTCTGGAATTAGCTGTTTGTGTTAAAGCAACATAGTGTGCCCAAATCGCTACTAACACATATTCTGGAAATAGTTGTTCAGATTCTTGATTTTACTGTTAACTAAAAACAACGCATTTATTTTTGCTATTGATTAGCAAATGTGCGTTATCAATTTAGTAATTTATGTGAAAGGATTAAAGCAAAGCTTTCAACAATATTGAAATGTGGACCTTTTTAAAAACGGTAAATGGACTGTATTTATATAGCGCATTTTCACAGTGTGTTGCACTGGCCAAAGCGCTTTACAGGAGATCATACACCATTCACACATTTCACACACCGACGACGACAAGGCTGCCACACAACGGCGCTAGTCAAGCCACCGGGAGCAATTTGGGGTTCAGTGTCTTGCTCAGGAGACGACTTGCCCTACCTCGTGAGCCACAGCCACCCTTAAAAAGGAAATCAATTTTTTTTTTCTGTTTATACATAATTGCATAGATTCTTGTTGGTTTATTTTATTTTTTTTTTTCTGCCCACATATTTTTTTGGGTGGGGGGGGGTTTGGGGGCTCTCCTCTCAAATAACACTACATATAGCCAAATTCTGATTCTTTCTCAACTTGGACAAAATAGACATGACACAAGGTGAATCCCATTTCCCTTATTTTGTCCTTCCTTGCTCGGCCTTGATGTCATTCCAGTCCACCATAAGGAAGGACATCCCACAGCTCTTTTTTTCTTCTCTGACGAGCAAGGAGGCTGCCTGCAGGAGCTACAACCAAGGTCACACGAGTGCATCCTTAGTGGAACTCGGTTACATATTGACATACCCCTTTATTGGAAATCAGTTTGTGATTGGATGCTTCACAGAATGAATAGGAGGAAAGGGCATCTCCTGTCAGTTAAAATGTTTCTCCTTCGTTCCTTTGTCCTTCTAGTTTCTCCTTACATCTTACAAGAACAGGACTAAGATGTAAGGAAAAGGAGCAAGTGAGGGAAGCGTGGATGCAGTTAGAGGAACTGGATTCCTTATCAGGGATGCACACAGGACAGCGTCTACTAGGAGACCTGCCAGTGTGGTCACGTGTAATCACAAGGCCATACCTCATTCATTCATTCATTCATGTTTATCCACCCTTACCGTTGTACCAGTAATGGGGTCAGTCACATTTTGTTACTTATGTATGTTTTCATTACTGTTCATTGAGACATTCACTATAGGATCTTGACCTTAGTATGGAATGTGCCCTAGTGTTGTCAGTGTTGCTCCGATGAAATTCAGTGAGATTCATTGAGATTCATTAATAAACCTGGCTGTGGTAGGTAGCTGTGTTTTTATTACTACAAATGCTTTAAATGATTAGTGTTTGTTTTTTAATGAGAGGTAAACTTTGCTGGCGTCTTTGTTTTCAGGTATTAAATCAAATGAAGAAGAGGAGGAGGATGAGCTTCATTTGGAAGCCTCAGACACACAACTGTCATGTGATGAGGACATTGGATCAGTCCTACAGGTTAGGGTTAGCTTCTTTCTCTCTTGGGTACTTAGATTTCTTTTTCCACTATTTCCTATTATTTTGAGATGTAATCTGTTGAAAACAAATTCACAATTCATTCTTATTTTAATGTACCCCACTTGTTTTATAATCTACATTTTATAAATCAAAGTCCATGCATGCACCTAAACCTCAAACTGTTGGTTCTGCAGGGGGGGCAGTCCCAGCTGTCATTGGGTGAAAGCATTTTAATAGTACTATGATAATAACATGATAATTTTGGTCCCTTTAATCATGAGGTTAAATTTGTATACCATTACATCTCTACGGTAAATCTAAGTATTCTCTATGAAAAAATGGTAAAGACGCTTCACTCGGTCAATCCTACATGCACACGCGCTCAGACTTTTTACTGAGTCAATGTTGCTTGTACCACAGAGCCCTGGCACATCAGCACCAGTGGTTCTTCTGTTCGATAGCGAGTTGCTAAACCTATTACAGCCTACAGTTTGCTAGGTAGCTGTAGCTTTCGCCCTGCAAACTCACATTTCATTGATGTCAAAACATGCTGTACATCCGTGATGACAACATGTAGCACAGTTCCATGATTGGGCATAGTTGCAGTGCCTTCACCTAATGCCTCCAGCATTTCAGAGCAGTGTATGTTTTTTTAAATGATTCACATTTGTCTGGGTGGTTAAAAACACATTTTCCTGTGGTGTGACAAATCCAGAATTTTCTGCTTTACCTGGACCCTGAAGGAAATTGCCTGAAAGCATAGCAGCCCAGTGTTGATTACTGCGTCAATCATTTTGTCTTCTGTGGAGTGATCAACTTTGACCAGAACAAAGTTTCATTTCACACAGATGGCAGATGTATGTGATTGTGATTTTTTTTTTTCTCTCTCTCTCTCTGATTAATTGTTTGTTTTGTAGTTTGACTATGTGGCCGTGGCAGACAAGCTGTTCCAGTTAGCCAGTCAGACCAGCACACCCAGCAAGAACAGACAGAGACTCTACAAAATCATCAAAGTGTGAGTAGAGGCTCCAATGCTACTCCTTGTGTTGGGGTTCATTATGTGTAGTGAACAAGGTACAAATAGCAGGCTGCTTAATTGAGAGAATACCACCACTAAACGGTGAGGAAAAGCTAAAAAGCTAAATGTGTCACATTTCTTTTTGAGATTTATCATTACCCATATGAGCAAAATTAAGTTTTCTTTTTTCCTTTTTTATACTTCCTGCCATCCTGAGATATTTATACTGCACCAACTTGTTCTGATTCTGACTTCTGCTTACATCCAAACTAATGCAGTTTCTTCTTGTCTCTCACCATGTATTGTTTCAGACTGCGTGATCTGAGTGAAGGTAAAAGCTGATAATTTCATCTTTTTTTTACACTTAAAGTAGCCAGCACACATTTCTCAATATTAAGTTCACCTTTTCAGAACTGTCCACACAGTCAGCACAACATCAGCCACCGTGGACCAATTTGTGGACCACATTTCATTGCTGTGACATAGAATGCTTTCATTCACTACATATCTTTAAAAATGCATTTATAGTATATTTTACACATTTCATGCATTGGGTAATACACAGTTTGTGGAAAGCTTGTAGAATCGGTGTTCTTAGAGCGTGTTGCACCATTTTGATGCCGACACTGGTGCAGTGGGTAGAGCAGTTGTCTCCCAACCTGAAGGTTCGAATCTCGGTGCCGGCGGTCCATGTGTCAAAGTGTCCTCGGGCAAGACACTGAACCCCCCCATTGCCCCCTATGGTTAGAGCCATCGGTTGAGTTGGCGCCGCAGATGGCTGCCATCAGTTCTGTACTGGAAACAAATTCCTTGTAACATACAGTACTTGGCTAATACGGATGACTGGCCTTATCCTTATGCTTCATCTCAAATACACAGAGTTCATAAAAAGGTCAGTCTGTGGCTGCATCTCAGGTCTCTTCTATGATTACTCCTTGCTTGACCTGGAAGTTGTTATGGTTGAGTGATAATTGAGGATATCCCAAGACTCTTACATCTGCTCTCTGAGCGAGGATAAGAGTATCCTTTTGAAGTTTTTACATGCATCACTCCCCTTTTTGGAAATCGATGATGATTGGAAGCTCCAGATGAATGATCAGTAGAAATAATGTCTCTTGAAATGTTTCCCTGATTCCTCTCTAGTCGCACTTTGTCTAGTATCATAATAAGTAGCAGAACTAAGATGCATGAGGGAACCATAAATGCATATAAAACACTTGAGATACACCCTGTGTTTCATCAGGATTTATGTTTCATGAACCAGAAACTCACCCTGTCCACCCATTTCTCACTTCCTGTTTTCATTAGTCTCAGGGATGAGGCACATATTGGTAACTTTAATCTGTGTTTTATAATCATATGGACGAGGTGTTTCACCACCTGCATGCCAATTATGAGAAAATGTGGACTTGGTATAGAGGAATGTGTGTTACCAATGGGCAAAAAAACTGGACTGCATATGAAGAGAACATAATTGTTCTTGACTGTTGACCTCTGGCATTCTCTCTCCACTCAGGCATCTTTCCTCAGGATGAGTATCCAGAGGAGGTCTCCACAGATGAGGATGATGAAATGTTTGGCAGCAGGAAGAGGATGAAGAGAGGAGGAGCTCATGTGGAGGAGGGTGAAGAGGAGACCCCAGCAGTTAAGAAAAGTAAGATTACATGACTGATCTCTGACAAACATGAAAAGTTTAAGAATGTGATCGTGTTTTTGAGAATGGTCTTGATTCTACTGATGCAGCTGTGATCTCTACTATATCCCACATCCACTATGGGAGAATCAAATAACCATAGGGGAAAACCTGTGTGCAGAACTGATAAAATGTGTAAAAATAAGACTGTTGATCTACAAATACTGTCCACTATTCCATTCATTATAAATTAAAACTGTTTTTCTGTCTGTCTGTGTAGGGAGTTTTTCCTCCCCACTGTCACCAAGTGCTTGCTCGAGGGGGATTTGTTGGGTTTTCCCTCTGTAATAATATTGATAACAGTAAGGTCTAGACCTTAGTTTGTAAAGTGTCCTGAGATGACTTTTGTTGTGATTTGGTGCTATACAAATACAATTTGATTTGATTTGATCTGGAATACACTAGCACGTATGTTTAATTTAAATGTGGTTTATATCCATTCCCTGTGTAGTCAGTTTAAATGAAGTTCCAGAGACTAATACCCTCATACTGTTAGCATATATATTCAGTTAGTCATAGTCACCCACTATAATTATTTTATCTGTACTAAGCACTAAATCAGACAAAGTCTGAGAATTCACTTAAAAACTCTGAATAAGGAGCAGGTGGACAGTATACAATAACAAGTAGAACTGGCTTTTGAGTTTTCCAGCTTGGGTGTGACTCGGATATCTGATATTTAAAATCACCACAGCTGAGCTCATAATCACTGAATAAAAGTCAAAGAATTTCTCACTGAATGCATTTCTCAGTTGGTTCGAGTTGGTGGTCGTGGTATGTTAAGCAATCTTGTGTTCCTCTTTGGTTTACCTTTAGGCCAGGATTCAAACTTTCAAAAATGAAAATATCAGAAAAACAGCATTCTCTTCTGAAACGTCATGTTTATCAGCCATGTGAATTTTTTTTTTGTTTTTTTAAACTTACAATGCTCTCAGCAAGGCTTTCCATTTGATACATTTTGAGTGAATGACGAATGTTGAATTGAAGGTTGAAGACTAACTGATCTGTCTCTACTTCAGGAAAGAAAAAGGTGTCCAGATTCAACAAGCAAAACAAGGCCTTGGAAAAAGATGAACAAACAAGCCTAACCACTAATGATAAAAAGAAAAAGAGGAAGAAAAAGGAAGCAGGGCACGGCCAAAGTGCAGCTGGTGTGGAAAATCCAGAGAGGTCAGAGCAGGGACAAACTGTGGCTCAAACTCAAAGTTTAAGTAAAGAGACTAAAGAAGGTCTGAAGTGTTCACAAGTGGAAGATTTAGAAAAGGAAGCACAGGCGCAAAACTTCATCTCATTTATAAAAGTCACACAGAGAGCTACTCCAAATGGTCAGTCAAACATTCTTCTCTCTTCTGATGTAAACAAACTGCTACTAGATAAAGTTACAGAAGACGCCAGCAAACCAAAGCCCTGCATCACTGACAAGGACCAATGTGAAACCTTTTCAGTGAAGAAAAAGAGGGAAACTTGTGAACCCAAGCTCACGGAGACAGGAGAGGAGCAGCAGACCCTTCCCACACCAGGGCTAGAGATGTCCTCTGAAGCAGATGCTCCAGTCTCATGGAAGAAAAAGAAGAGCCTGAAAGCTGAGTTGCAAAGACATGGGATTAAGATTCAGTCACAGGTCCGTGCAGAAGCAGAAATCACACCAGAAAGTTCTGAGGCATTGGGAGAAGAAACAACAATTCCAACACCTCAGGCTGATGCTACAACTCCTGCCAAGAAGAAACAGAAAGGCCTGAAAGCTGGGAGGAAACCTGGAGGGAGTGATGTTCAGTCACAGATTAACGGTTTGAGCTCAGATGTCACAACACCACACTGTAAAGGTTCAGCAAAACATGGCACAGTGACCAAACGGGGGATAGAGGGAAAACACACCAATGCTGAGCTGACATCCGAAGCATCACGTACCGCTGCAGTGTCACTTCAAAAGAAGACAAAGAAAAAAGTAAAGCTAGTTCATGACATGGAGGAAACTAATCAGTCGCCTGAAAGCACAACACTCGACACTTCGTCTGCTACAGATGACAGCACTGTAACACCACTGAAGAAGAAAACAAAGAATAAAAAAGGAGCTAAGATTATGGCAGAAGAGTACCAAGCAGTGGTGGCCACTGATAAAGTACTGTTTGAGACCAGCATGACAACATTAGCAAAGAAGAAAAAGACTCCAAAGCTTTTAGCAATCCAGGCAAATAAGATCAAAGCTGAAACCCAGTTGCATGTGTTTCACAGAGGAGATGCTGAGCTTCCATTGGATGAATCTAATGCAGTCTCTTCCTCTGGGAAACTCGCAAAAAAGAAGAGGAAGATCCCTGTGGTGTTTGAGTTCGAGGCTGATGAGATGGAGGAAGCTGCATGCATCGACTTTGCAGAAAAAGAGGCTCTTGCCAAGAAGACAAAACTGAGAAATGTAAGTATGTGAATAGATTTAACAATTCCAATGAGATGTGATTGAATTTCCATACCGTCTTAATAACACTTAGTTCTTCTAAAATGATTTCCCACCTCAGGATGCTGGGGAGCCAGCCACACATCTGAGCACTGAAAAATCACAAAGGAAGATGATTACCTCATCTGACTTTATTACCTTTCAGAGCAAAGTTGTGGTCCCAACACCACTCTTCTGCAAGGCCAGTGGAAGCTCCAGCACCCCCCCTGTCAGCAAGAAGGTAAATGAAGAGTCAGACCTAAGAATCGGTGGTGTACTTCATACAGAATACAGCAAAACCTTTTGAGGTTTATCTCAACACCTCATAACCAGTAGACATGGGAATTGATTCCAATTCTTGGTTTCATGATTTGATTCAGAACAAGTTTCAATTCAAAAACAATTTGATTCATAAAAAAAAAAAAGTGGCACTATATTTTGTAGTGGTGGGAAAGAATGTCTGTTCACATTACAGTTCTACAGTTCTAAACTTATTCACAAATGCTTAAAATAGATCTTATGTTAATGATGTTGACAAAACAAAAAAGGCCGAACTCATCCACGAAGCCAGTGTTCCCCGCAGACAGCGGACAACGCACACTTAGTAGAATTGTTTTACATCTATGATGGTAACCTTCGTCTTCAGACAATGGATTTATTTGCATGTATATTAATTACTTGATAATGTGCTTTGAAAGACAAGTGTGGAGAACTGTCAGCCCATCACTAGCAGGTCGATGTTACTGTAGCGGAGCAGCAACCGTATTAACAAACAAGCAGCTCGGCGACAAACTGCAGCACTTCAGCCAGACTGGTGACAAAGAGAAGACCTCATTGCTGCAGACCAGTGCCTGTTTTGGATCACAGTGACTTTCTCTGGTAGTAATGCTGCAGCACAGAAACTGTTCTTTACTGCTGCAGATGCATAACATAACATAATCCAGCACTCTGCTTTGTTCTCCTCCATCCCCAATTACTTGCATATTCTGCAGCTCTGCCATTACAATGGTAATGGTCTTATGGTCGGAATGATATTGTACCACTTGTAGCAAAGCAAAGCAAAATTTATTTATATAGGATAAGGATAATCAGGATAATCACCTTTATTGGTGAAGTATGTCACACACAAGGAATTTATTTCTGGTACAGAACAGATATAAATCAAATCAAATCAATTTTATTTGTATAGCGTCGTATCACAACAAAAGTCATCTCAGGACACTTTACAAAGTAAGGTCTAGACCTTACTGTCCATCCATCCATCCATCCATTTTCCTCCGCTTATCCGGAACTGGGTCGCGGGGGCAGCAGTCTGAGCAAAGATGCCCAGGCTTCCC